TAAGTCGTCATCATATAATTAATGCAAAATTTAATCTCAGTTACGTAACTTTTTTTTAGGGGAATGCTAGGTTCATCGTTATTATCTGTAGGGCTGTTAAAAGTCCGATCCTGTCCGTCCGGACTCTTCAAACAGGGACTTTGATCAGGACTCGATCCTTGAGTCGATCCTTGATGTATTTTAATCATGTATGAATCAACGTAAATTAGCCAATCAAAATGAACAATTCTCAGAACAAAAGATATGCAGTCAGACTTTGTCTGACAACGTAAATTAGCCAATCAAAATGACCAATTTCCGGGATAAAAGATATGCATTCGGACTTTGTCTGAAGTCGACTTCGAATCGGTCCTAAAAAGTCCCTGTGTAATCGACTCAAGGACCGGGTCCTACGAGCTTTTTCACAGCCCTAGTTATCTGTTATACAATTATATAAATTAAAAATTATATAAAGCAATAGAATACACCAATTGTTAGAAAATTCTGATATTGTAAGAGATCTTTTTTTTAAACTTTCGAATTTTTTTTTATAGTACTGTTACTAGAGTGTCCGAATTCTGCGGTGCATAAATCTGCTCGCTCTAAAAATATTTTTTTGTATTGTCTCCGTAAGATAAACGTGACTTTAATTATTTTTTAAAACCAAATACAATATAAAAAAATATTTTTAGAGCGAGCAGATGAATTCTGGACACTCTAACTGTTATACATAATCTTATTATTAGATTGGTCGATAGTGCCTTTTGTTTTAGAAAATTTTGAACCCAAAATTTGGGTAAAATCCTCCAGGAGTAATGCACGTCTTATACAATTTTCGCCTTATTATTACACAAAAATGGGGTCATTTGATTGGTTAACAGTACCTTTCTAATAATAAACCAAACATTCGTCAAAGCCCAAATAAAGTTTTTGCAAATTCCAAACCAAAATTTTCCGTGCCCCTCCTAGGCTTACGGACCATGTTTACACTATTAATTAAATTTCTTGGATAAATTTTGGCTGCTGTATATACGTACGTACGTTCGTATGTAACTGGTGAGAAATTCTCCTGTACAAGATAATGGGGTGTCTAATGCAAATCTAATTGCATAATGCAGGTACGTAGTAAGTACTAAAATTAATATGATTAGATACGTACGTACTTAAAATTAAATATTTCAATGTATATTTTTAATAATTAAAATAATATATATATAATATTTTATGAAAAAAAAAACTGGAACCCAAAGTTTTGGGGTCGGAGGTTTAACTTTGTGTAATCCTTAACGTTAAAGAATATGCTAATAGCAGATCAATCCGTACGGATAAGGATTTAATCATATGGCAATCCGGGAAGACCGGATTTAAACGGATCACATTTCTAGTTGTCACTAACATATTTTGGTCATCAAAAATTCGTGTAACGAGATTCACAATTGTATGAGTGACTCCAAATGTCGGATTTGTCCTGAATGTCAATCTGGTCTAAACTATCAAACTAAGCAAATTAATCTAGGCCATTTATTTAGATAAATTTGGTAAATTAATGTTTGGCGTCTCGATTGACAAAATTTATAATGGGGCATAGCATATACAAACATGCGCGCCACACGAATAATATCAACAAATCGTGGGGAGAAAAATGGAGAAAGGTGTATGCGTTTATTGTGATACATATAAAATGTAAATTCGATCAACTTGGATCAACTTGACATAAATCTGACGCGTGCAAAACGAAAAGAAAGAAAAATGCGAAATACAAGAAATTGAACACTTAAGTCGCACGAGGAAATTAACGTTAATAATTTGTGTAGGAATTTCTAATTTGCACTCATTTCTGTTTCTAGATTTGTATCACTAGGACGAATAAATTATGAATACGCAATAAATTGATTTGCGCAAAAAAAGGGAAACTTTACATGTGGCGACTGTCGTTTACAATTTACAATACCAACCTTAAACACAAACTTTAATGTAGATACGTGTTTTCCAAATATATTATAACTACATTCATAATTTACTCAATGATTTATTGATTTACCATCGATTATATACCTAAGATTATATAATAATAATTGCATCCCTTATTTAGTGTAATCAACATTGATAATCTTACGTACGTACGTACGTACGTCGTACATACTTGCTATATTTATAGGGGCCAGTTTACAAACTTGCTCAATTCGTCTAGCTGAGCCATTCTGATGGGCGTTGTTGATTGTTACAAACATCTCGTTTTCTTGATAAAGGTCCACGCCAAATTTGTTTTAGAGATTTTAGTGTCGATCCTTTTTAACGTAACTTAAAATATTTGATTCGAACCTCCGAGAAATTTAGTACTATACACTTTTAAACCTCTTTAAATTTTCGGTTTTGCTTTTACCTTTGTACCATATTATTGTATGATTGTTTCATGATTTCTTCAACAAATTAATATTATTTAATTAATATTATTTAACGTGGTAAAGACATTTAAGAAAAAAAAAATCCAATCCAATGTCGATACAACCTTTTAATGAAAAAAAAAAGCCACTGTCTTCAGGGCTCAAGAATTACATTAGTGAACGACAAATTGGTGAGCGGATGTATTCTTCTCATTTGTTTTGATTTTTGTTTTGATTTTTGTCTTTCAATTTTGTTTAATCCTGTTTAATCATTTCATTTCATTCTTCCATTCTTCAATTCTTTCAACATATTAATTGTAACAAATCTCTGTTCATTATATTTTAGAACTGCCTTCAAAAATAATAGGCGCAATTTTGATTTCTTATTTTTTGGCACCAGACCCACAAAATCCCTTCTCAAAATTCCTTTTCATCTCATACCCTATACACAAATCTGATGGAACTGTTCTTTATGGAAAAGGTTATTGGGATTTGGCTTACATTACTTTTTGGGTGGTAGTTTTTACCTTAGTTAGAGAGTGTATGATGTGGTACTTATTAAAGCCTGTCGCAATATGGGGTGGCATTAAAAGCCCAAGAAAATTAACCCGATTTATGGAGCAAGGTTATGTTACTATATATTATATTATAGCTGCCTCAGTTGGCTTGGTGAGTAATCGATCCAAACTATTATATTTCGTAATTATACTTCATGATCATTTTCTTAGTTAAACCTACCTCGAAAAATACTCTGGAAATTTCATTATATAAATTCATCATGAATGCTTTATTTAATGAATTTTTTATCTATTTTATCCAAATATATTTGACTTAAAACAATCTTGAATGTTTACCTCTTTAGATTATAATGAACAACAGTCAATACTCGTTTTTTGAAACAAGACACCTTTGGATTGGTTATCCTCATTATGAAATGACTTATCTTTTAAAGTCTTATTACCTTATTCAATTGGCTTATTGGCTTCATCAAGTAGTGGTTTTAATCCTGCAACTCGAGAGACCTCGTAAAGACCTTTTACAATTAGTTGCTCATCATATTATCACTATTCTGCTGATTGGTGGTAGTTACATATCAAATTTTACAAGAATTGGAAATACTGTATTTATTTCAATGGATGCTTCGGATATTTGGTTAGGGGTATGTGGTAATAAACTTATTAAGTTTCATCGTCAACTCTGTCTGGATATATAACTTTTGATTTGAATCTTTTTGATCAAAGTCATTGGTGATCCTCAATTCATAGATAGATTAAGGTTTGGTAGTTATTTGCTAATCTAATTATTTTATTTTTATATGACTACCTTCGGTGTTCCTTAATTATTAGCTGTCAAAATGTTTGAAATACATGGCTTTTCCTAATTACGTTACCAACACAATGTTTATAATTTTCATGATAATATGGGTATACTCTCGACATTATTTATATTGGCTAGTCACTTATTCTCTTTGGGCTGATTCCTGTCTTCCTGAAAACAACGAGTGTATTTGGGATCCGTTAAATGGCTATTGGCTTACATGGTGGTCCAAATACATTGTTTTACTAGGAATGACCCTTTTACAAATCTTAATGATTTATTGGTTCACTCTTATTTTGAAAATTGCGTGGAAAGTTGTTAATGGGAATAACGCTGAAGACACTCGAAGTGATACTGAAGAGTGAGTCATCTATTTATCTAATTTATCTCCATTGTCACCTGTTCTCTAAATTTATTTTTAATCCTGTTATTACTAGTGAGGACGAAAGTAGCATTTCAAAAAAAACTGATTGAAAATCAATAAGATTTTTAAATAGTTATAAATTATATAATTATTTATTATTTATTATTTATATATTTGGGTATTAATATTACTTACATTTAAAAAGATATTATTCTTCTTGAATATTTATGGAAAATGTATAAATGGTTTGTGTATTTTTTTAATATTAATAATAACTGTCGTGGGTGATGTTGGAATTGGGTGATTACAAGAAGTTAATAAAAAAAATTTTAAAGTTAATATTTTTTAGTCTTTTTTTTAAAAAAAAATTTTAGGTTAGGATTTAGGGTTAAAGTTTATCAATAAGAGAATGTGTGGATTTTGTTTGGTTTGGTAGGGACATTAAATCTCAGCATCAGTCGCGACAGTAACTCCTTGAACTATTGTATTTTATGAAAATTTTTTTTTTCTAAAAAAATATTTTTTATAAGGTACCAGATAAGATTATTACCACTTAATAAATAACCTATTGAATATTGAAAACATGTTGATAATTATAGTGTTAGTAAGTTTGTGTATTATTAATTATTGCGGTTGATGCAGAGAGCGGTATTAAATTTAGAGAACCGTTAATGCAACCCCCACTTTTGTTAATGCCACCCTATATAACCTTACCCGGTCTAAAATCCTGAATTCTACAGATAGTATTTAGAAATAGTGTGAATTCATGTGATTAATTAGTTAGCAGTTAGGGTAAACATTGTTCATAAAGTTTCCAGAGGTTTAAAGGCCAATTAGAGCTATGTAGGGGGTGGCATTAACAAAAATGAGGGGTGGCATTAGCAAGTCTCTAAATTTATTTTAATAATATATTTTAGGTTAAAATTTAGGATTAAGGTTATCAATGAAAGAGCATGTTTAGATTTTAGTAATGTTAGGTTTGATAGATTTAGATCATCATGGTTGAGCCTATATATAACGCAGAAACTAGTTGCAACATTGCCGAAAATATTTTTGCATTGATTTTTTTGTAGAAATAATGCCACGGGATGTAAATCGTAACCTATAATGTATGGCATGACCTAATTTAAAACCTGCAAATTTAATATATATTTGTAGAATGGTTAGTTAACTTAATGCAAAAAAAAAGTTTTAGAATAATGCAGCTCACATTTGCAAAACTCTAATTTCTATATGTAAACTGCATCATATTATACTATGACCTCTCTTTAATTAACTGGCGAATCACCAATTAAAAATATTATCATTAAAAAAAATTTAGATGTTATAATTATTATTATATATATTAATTAATTTAATTTTTTAGTTGTTTACTAAATATAAAAAGTTAATTGATGATCCACAAGTTATGTAAAGAATGATCTTAGTATAATATGATACAAATTATATATAAAAATTATTATAGGCAAAAATGCAGCATATACATAAGAAAACTTTTTCTACTAAATTAATCACCCTTGTGTATTAAATAAAAATTGTAAAGCTTATTAAGATGCACTTAATAACAGTTAAATCATTCAAATTGGACAGTGAATACTGAGATATCTTAAAAATATTTTATTTTTTTATAATTTGGCAGTCCTGCCACTTTTTATTTGTAGATTAATTAAATTAAAAAATTTACATTCCCTAATAATAGCTATACTAATCCACCCGTAAAGTAGCTTACCTACGCTTTCGCCAAATATGACTTGCCTCAGTGGACTTCAAGCCTCTCTCTGGGCCTCTAACTTACTAGAGGTTATCCTTTGGTTATGGGCTGGTGCCACACACCGTATTAAAGTTAGCTTTCCTTTTTATCAAATGAAATACAAACACAAATGCAAAGGGCAAAACAAAAATGGGGAAATACTATGGCGTTGAGTTCTGGTCCACCTAAACTAATAAAACCAAATAAAACAAATAACAAAAAAAACAAAACAAAACAAAACAAAACAAAACAAAGATAGCACTATTAAACCTGTGCAGAATTGTAAAAATTATATAGTACTACAAATAATCTAGACTAAAACTCTATGTTAGTTATTTATATCTATATCCAGAATGTAAAAATGTAAAAAACCATTCGGTCTTGAAGTAGAGCTCCAAGGATTGAAACTTCTAATTGCTATTCCAAACCGTTGACAAGTCTTCTGCAATGTTTCAATCTGTAACTTCCTGGGCAAAGTTTGTGAGCTGTTGTCCATCGATCCACATTGGCGAATCGGGCATTCTTGGTATAACCACCATAACCTCTTAAAGAAAAAGTATCTAACACTATAACCTAAAGTATACATGTACACATGTACGTATATTTCCTTTTTGGCAGCAATTGTTGTTGTTAATCTTTTGATGAAGGTATGCCGTTTTTTCCACTTTTTGTAAAAATTTCACAAAGACCAAGAAAGTGGGATATGGAGGAGGGTTTCGGTTTGCAGGTAGCCTTAAACTTCAGTAAGGAGTGTGTTGAAAACTCGCTTGTTATTCTCCTTAGACCAACTATCTTTAACTTCGTCAGCAGAAGCAGAGCTTTTATTAAAATTTTCTATATAAGGGCACCACCTTCTTGCCAGCTATCTTGTACAGAAATGCTTTTAACTTGCATACTGAATATACAGAGGAGTCTGGGTGAAACATGAAAATTTTTAATCTCTGTAAAAATCATTATTATATAGTTGTCTTTTCTACTTTTTTACAACAAGTTTCTGTTTTCGTTAGCCATAAGTTTGGTATAAGTGATCGTCAGGAAGAGTTGGTTAAAAATATTTTATTAACTATATAAAATTCTATATAAACAATAATATTGTTTATATAGAATTTTATATAGTCAATAAAATGTTTTTTGAAGATATCTTAGCATCTATTAGGCTGATTTGGATGATCTAATTATCATTAAATATACTTTACAACTTTCACTTAATATACAAGAATGATTAATTTAGTAAAAAAGTTTTCTTAGCCACACACTATATTTTTGCCTATTGTAATTTTTATATATGATTTGTATCATATTATAATAACTCATGGATTATTAATTAAACTATCTATACTTTAAAAACATCTTCATACTAAAAAATTTAATAGACATTAAAGTTGTTATCTTATATATAAACCAAACTAATCCTGTAGTTAAACTTTTATATTTTAAAATATCTTTACTTTTTTAATATTAAAAAAAAGAGGGTGTGGAAGTTGGCAAGTTGTTGCACTCCCAAGCAGCAGGATTAGAGTTTGAATTCCACTGGCAACAAAAATTCGAATTATAGAAAATGCATTTAGAAGACTGTATTCTATTAGATTGTAGAACCTGTAATGGTGGTTGTACCAGCTTGTACTAGGAGGTAGTGAAACATATAGTGTGATATATAAGTTACACAAAATCTGAGTGAAACTACTAGATAAATACAGTAAATTTACAGGATACAGGAGCCTGCTTGGCAAGACCCGAGTAGAGAGGTAGTACAGATCTTCAACAGTTACTATGTAAAGAATGATCAACCGGATATCAGAAAACTAGACAGAACCGAGGTGTTTGGCAAAAGCACTATATCAACTAGGCCAACAGGAAAAAACAGAGGAAGGGTTCTGTCTTTCTAGGCTGTAGAATTAGGAGTTTGGGTTTCCAGAGGTATGGGAGGGAGTCTGTAAAGTAGGTACTGGGGTTTGGGTGAACTCTACAAGGGCAGTAGTAGGTAACTGTAGCAGCTTCAGCTCACAAGTACTTGTTCTCGGACTCGGTGTAAGTTACCGAAAAGGCCTAGTCTAGAAATGTGTAGAATATAGAAAGATTGATGAGTATATGCTACACCCTCCCTAGAGCAACTCAGTAAGTATGAGAACCCTAATGGGTTATTTATAGAATTAAGGCACAAGTAGTGTAGCACATATCGATCTGAGTAGTCTTTAAATGTAGCAGCACGAGGTTATGGGCTGGTGTAATTGTAGATGATAATAAATGTACTACTTAAATACCTAATAAAAATTCGTCATTTCATGATATTGTAAAGGAAAAAATATATATATATATTAAAAAAAAGTATAAATAGAGAAAACTTAAGATTATAAAATAGTAGATTTTAATAATACTAATATTATAAAAAGTAAAATATTAAAGGTTGTTATAAGTAGAATTAAAAATTAATATATATTTTTTTTAATGTTAAAGTAATCACTTTGGGGTTTAGCACATTTTATTGAAGTTTGGTTTAAATGCCAGAGCAACCACATGAGCTATCTCTAATTTTGTTACATTAACAAAGATATATTCTAGCTATATCTGCACTTTTTAAGTGTCTAATTTAAGTAGTCTGCCTATTACTAAGTTTTATACTAGATGCTGTACCTATAATCTACTATTAGAGTTCTGCATTTGATTTGATTTGATTTGATTTGATTCAAATATTTGATTTCAAATCAAATTCAAATATAGATTTTCAAATTAAATCAAATTCAAATTAAAAGATCAAATATTTGATTTGATTTAAAAATATTTATAAATAGCTAAAATTTGAAGAGTTATAGTTTCAAAAACCATTTTATCAAAACTTTATTAATACAATCACCAATTTGGTTTTATAAAACTAGAGCTATTTTGATTAGAAAAACATTTTTATTTAATATACAAAATCGATTAGCTTAATAAAATTTTGTAAAAATCTAAGATATTCATAAACAGCTAAAATTTAAAAATTTATAGTTCTAGAGGCTATTTTCTCAAAATTTTATTAAGACAATTGCTAATTTCATTTTATGAAACTAGGGCTATTTTGATTAAGAGAATATTTTTTATTTAATACAATGAATCGATCTAGTAAATAATCCTAACTTCCATTGAAGTTTATTGATTTATAAGACTAAATCTAAATATCTTTATTACTGGGATACTCTTGAAGGGACTAATTACCAATACCTTAAGCCCCTGTTTAGAGAATTACTAAGAAATTAGCTTAATAAAATTTTGTA